AGCTGTCGCTACCCTGTGTGACCCTTACTCACTTTTTCCCTTTGGGTTTTGGCTTACTCATTTGCAAAATGGGGCAAATAGTTCCTGATCGATTGGTGGATTGGTTGTCTCATTCATTCCAGGTGCTTTACTAGGTTCTGTTGGCTAGATATGCATAGACAGCACCTACCCATGAGGAGTTCAGCCAGAGGGGCGATGTGATGTGGTTTACATTTTAAACATCTCTCCGCCACCACGTATTGAGTAAATTCCAGAGAGCAAGAGAGCTAGAGAAGCCAGGGCCAATGCTGACCACCAGATGGCAGTTTTAATTCTGTCCTCTTCCCACCAGTACCTCTCCCTTCCTCACCCCCACCCCCACTTCCAACGTTGGTGTTAGAACCAGTCAATCCAGATTTCTTTCTTACCTTCTTTCCATCATTCCCTCAACCAACTTTGCTGCGTGTAGACTGGGGATGCACTCATGCACAGCACCCCGCATGGTGCCTGCATTCATAGAGCTTGCATTCTAAATTCCCCATTTGGTACATACAGACATGCATCCTTCCTATCTTCCCCTGGATGTATATTTTAGGAAAAATGAGAACATCCAGTGAGGTTATGGGGCAGTAAAGCGTTTTCTGCCAGGTTCGAATCCTCGCTGGGCCGCACTAGATAACGTGAACCTGCTAGTCCTTTCTCCTGAGGTTCTGTCTGTATATTAGGGGAGGGAGAAGATCATCCTAAAACATACCTTCTAGCTATAAAATGTTGTGATATTGAAGGCATGGGAGACAGTTATTTTCACTTCTCCTGTCCCAACTATTTAGAATATTTGCATTTGAAAATGAGTTCCTGGGGGCGCCTGGGTGGCTCAGTCAGTTGGGCCTCCAACTCTTGATTTCAACTCAGATCATGATCTTGCGGTTCCTGGGTTGAGGCTCCACATTGAGCTTGAGATTCTCTCTCTCCCTCTCTCTCTGCCCCTCGCCCCCCTCTCTCTTTCTCTCTCTCTGTAAATAAATAAATAAATAAACTTTAAAAAAAAAAAA